AAAAAATTAATAAAATTAAAAAATGATCAAATAATATTCAATACTTAAAATAAACATATTTGAGAAAAAACAAAATGCTTGAAATGTAATTTTAAGTTAAAAATTCTCAAAATTTAATTTTTCAATTATTTCCTATTTAATAATTTTATTATAAATCAAATATTATTTATATAAATTATTTAATTATAATAATAAATTTTATTAATATTTGTTTACTTATATATAATTATTTTATTATATAATTTCATTATTTAAAATATTAATTATAAGATTGATTTTAAATTTTTAATCTATAAATTGTAAAAAAAAAATTTTGAAATTAAACTATAAATAATAGTTTTTAATATTTTAAAATTTGAATGATAAAATAGTTTTAAAGATATTATTAGAATAAAGTTTTAGTTTAAAACATTAAAATTTAAAATATAAGAATTTGAATTTCTTGAATTATAGTTTTAAACTATAAAACTTTTTTTAATTATATAAAATTTAGTTTTTTATACTTAATAAATATATAAAATTTAATAAAAGTAGAAATATAAAAATAAAATTTAAATATTTAATTATTATTTTTTTTTATTTATATTTTTATTAAAAGAATTTTTAAAAATTATATTTATCTAAATTTATTAAAAAAATTTTTATACTAGAATAGTTAGTATATGCATATTTTGTAATAAAAAAGAAAACTACCAAAAATATTTTTTTTATTTTATTAGCTAAATATTTTTTTAGTAAAATAAATCCAGATTTAACATTATTCAAAAAAATTTTTTTGGTAGTTTCCTCTTTTTTTTACTATAAAGCACCTATATACTAATCATTCTAATATTATAATAATTCAAAATCAGTAAAACTATAATTTTCAGTATTTAAATTATAAAATAAAATGATTTATCTATTATAAAGATTAAGTTTAATATTTATTGTAATTTTATTTATTACTTTTTTAATTTTATATAATCTATAAGTTTATCTTTAAATCAATATTTCTTTTGTAAATCTTATATAAATAATTAATAATTAGAAAAAAAATAAATAAATATAAATTGTATATATTAAATATTTACTAAATATATTTTTATAATAAATTTGAAAATTATAATTAAATAAAAATAATAAAATATATTTTACAAATATATATTGATTGCTAAAAAAAATCAGAAAATATAAAAATATATTATGAATTTGATTTTTATATTATTTTTATAAAATGTTTTACTTTAGTTTTTTTTATGATCAAAATCTTTTGTGCAAATTTTATATATATCTTTATATAATAAGCATAATCAGAAAAATATATAATTTGTAAATTGTTCATTTTATATATATTATGCGATAAATAACAAATATAATATTGCGTCAGATGCCGACTGGCCTAATTATGGGCCTATTTTGGGCTGATCTAATAATGCCTTAAGAAGGTTTGGCCAGCATTAGTCATCTGACTCAAATCGACATCTGACGCAAAACTTATTATATAAATGATCAAGTACTCGTTTAACGGATAATCCAATCCCTTCAATCCCTTATATTGTAATATTTCATTTTTCATTTAGTATACAAAGAGCATGAAACTTATAATAATCCCACTTTTTTTTTTTTGGTTGAAAGCTACTATATTCTCTAAGATATCTATTAATTCACTATAATAATTGTGAATAGATTAAAACTTTAGTCAGAAACATCCCTTTGCAACCTTATTATAAATTAGATAATTTTTCAAGAATAAACAAACAACTTATAACCATTTGAAACAATTTTGAACAGATTTGAATACTTTTTAACACGTCTATATAATATTTAAATCAAAAAAATGTGTCCAAAACCTATCAATGATTTAGAAGTATTTCGTTCAGTATTTGATACTTATTTATTTCTGATATTTGATATTACAGTAATTGTTTCATTGCTTACGTCAAACACATAGGATGCTATTGTATCATGTGGTAGAAGGCCACATGATAGAGTAGTATCATAGTGCGTGTCGAAACATTATTTGCATACAGCGTCGAAATTTGTGCGCCATTCCTTAAATCCAATTTCTGCTGCGGAATGATTACCAAATTTGGATAGTAAAAATTTTTCAAGACATCATAATTATTTCACTAATATGAGGGATGATGACATAATTAAAAGATAATCCTAATATATAAAAAGCACCTTGTTCCCTTTTTGCTTTTACCGAACCTAATGAACGAAAGATCGATAAACCTCAGCAAGTAAATGATCCGAAATATAAACCAGAGCAAGCTTCTAATATGCAAACTCAAGTGGCAGCACGAACCAATACACAGGGACAACCCATTCAACAAATTTCTATTCAAGTTCCAGCGAACATGACTTCGGTACAGTTGGAAGTTCCAAGCGCTAATTCCGTGGCAATGCAGGCTCAAGTCGCGGCACAGCGTGAAACTTTACAAGAAATATCACAAATCACATCCACACAACCACCGACTCAGATCCTTTTCAATGCAAATCAACCAGCTGCGCCTGATATTTCAGCGCAGATTCCTACGTCTGGACTTCATGGAGTCGTCAATCCGACTAGCGACGTTGTACAAGTCAGGGTCTTTCCAGCAAGCAATGGCGCATCTGGCGGAGGAAGTGTTCCATTTAACGTTACTGGTGAACCAAAGGGCGTTGTGTTGAAAGAATATGGACCGTCTAGAATGGATACAGATTGACGAATCAAAATGTGTGGGATTATTCGATTGAATGAATGCAAAAAAAGGAAATTGTATTTACACGAAATCCATTGAAAAAAAAAAAATTTACCAATCTTCGATATTTGTATTTAAACTTAATACGGATTAGCAGATAGTTCGCAATTTGAAAGCGAAAAAAAAACAATTTTAAAAAAAAAAAAAAAAAAAAAATTGGACGATATATTTTTTTTTTTTAAAATAAAAAAATGAATGAATTTTCGTAAACCGCTTTGGTGTTTTAAATTATGTACATGCACCTATATATTTTTTATGTTAATGGGTACCCAGTCCATGCTCGGGATCCATGCTTATATAAATTGTTTCAGCTGCATATATTACGCAATTGTCATTTTCGACTATTTCTGAACTTACCCGATCCTTATTTGTTTGATTTTAACCCAAAAAGTTTATCTTTATGTGCAATCAGGTTTGTAATGAATAATTTAACCTATGAAAGGTTGTGCTATAATAAACTTGGTTAGACTTACAAAAAATTTTTGCAAAGTTTGGCAATTTTGGCAATTCATACCGGTAAAAAAAAAAAATATTAATTGATCTGACGTTCCATCGATTGTTTCCTTAGGCAAGTTCGAAAATTAATTGAGCTAGTTCGTAAAATTAGACTAACCAAAGATTGAAATAATATATTTTTTTCCAAAAATAACAATTACAAATATTTTTTTTATTTATCAATCAAACATCATGTATTAGAAAGAGGTATTCACGTCATAAGTCCGAACTTTATGTACCTTATCACCCGGAATCAGTGAATTGATGAAAAAACTTTTCAGAGTCCCCCGATCAAGTTGGATCGCACAAAATTGGTTTTGTTTTTGAAAAGATCGTCAAAGCTTTTTAGGGAATACCTCGATCCTTGTCGTGTCCGTGTATGTTTTCTTTCTATTAAAATTATTAAAATCATATTGATTGAAAAAAAAAAAATTGTTTTCGCTAACCCTTTAATGGTCACCCGTTGATCAGTGTACAAATATTTAAAGTGATGAAGTGTATCGGTAAAAGCATTTTTTTTTTTTTTTTTTTTAAGATCAAAGAGAATATTTTTTTTCTAATTAACATCAAACTTTTTCATAAACATCTATTCTTTAAACACCAAATATGCTTGCCGTTACCGATAATATCTCTCAAAAGATCCAAAGACAACCCTCCAAGGTTGTGATTACGATCGTTGGTGGTGGTAATTGCAGTCATATCATGGCCGGAATTTTCGGTTCTAACCCTAATTATGAGGTGCGACTTTTTAACCCGACGTCCAAAGGAATGGAATTCTCAAATCACGGTGGAATTTAAGTTAAACAAACCCAAGGTTATTGGTAAAATTGCGAAAATTTCCTGTGATCCCTTGAAGGTGATTCCGAGATCCCAGTGGATTTTCATTTCTTCCCCTGTTTCATTTCGACGTAAAACTTGGAAGTGTTCGGACATTG